AGTCTAGTGTGTTTTGCTTTAAGACAAGCATCACATTTATTAATTTGTTCTTTATTTGAAACACTAACAAAATTTAAACTCGAGATCTTCTTGATTGATGGGTGCCCAAGCCTTTTATGCCAAACCTCAAAAGTCGACATTAGAGCTTCATTTGTCTTCATCTTCATACCCCCATCCGATACAATCCTCCATTGCGACCACCTGCTCCAATCAAGTGCTTTGTCCCCAACTCCTACATCACGAAAAAACGTGGGAAAATGTAACAACATAGTTTAGATCATCTGCGAGTTTACCACCTGAAAGAAGATTGTAATTAAAACTTGGTACAAATAAAACTCCTTTTAATTTTAAACGTTCTGGCAAAGTGTGTTCACCCTCCCCCATGACCTGAACCTTGTCTTCATTAGGAATAACAACAGGTGAGTCTTTAGGGTTTTGGGTTTTATTAATCAAAAAATCATTGTGTGTCATGTGCTCGGTGGATCCCGAGTCGACAATCCACCCTTCATAAATTCCATTTCTACCTGCCATGTTTTCCATTGATTGTATTGTTACATCTGTTCCTTCCTTGAAATGCTCAACAAAGAGTCAGTACTACTCATCTGAAAGTCTGGGATCGGACTTGGGCCCAACTCCACACAAGTTGTCCTGGGTTTATCTTTCTTACCGGGCCACCATTCAGGGTACCCAATAAGTTTGAAACATCCGTCCTTGATGTATCCATCTCGTTGGCAGTGAGAACATCGAATCTTCTTGTAGACATCTGATTTTGAGGATTTCTGTGTCACTTTATTTACCGATTGAGCAGCTTGCTTCGGTAATGATTGTCGATGTCCCCGCTGTGAATTGTAGTTAACCTAGAACGTTGATGCCTCAGTCCCACTCCTTTTCACTCCACCTGTGATTGCTCTTTGTTTCTCATCTTCTGCTAACAAATGGTATACCGTTCCGATGGAGGGTGTCAGCTTCATAACAAGTACTTGAGTTCTGATGACTGCGAAATCATTGTCCAAACCCATCAAGAACTCGTAATTCCTTTCTTTTTCTCTCAACTCATTAAGTTGTTTTCCAATTCCAAAACTGAAACCTTCACAGGTGCATCGTGGCGTGGGAATTACCATATGCAATTCATCTCAAATTAACCTTAGCTTAGTGTAGTAATTCGACACAAAACTCCCATCTTGTCTCGTTACATGGAGAGCTTGCTTCAACTCGTACGCACGAGGTGCACCCTCTTTTTCGAATCACTCTTCAAGGTCTGGCCAGACCTCTGAGGAGGTGTTCACATATTGAACACTTGTTCTTATTTCCCTCTCCATCATTGTGGTTAACCACCCTTTTATCATAGCATCGGCTCGAACCCATGCCGTGTACGTGGGTGATGTTGACTCAGGCTTCTTCACCGCTCCATCTATTAATCCCATCTTGTTTTTCACCAAGAGAAAATTTTTCATCTCTTGTTTCCATTCATTTTAATTGTTGTCATTCAACAAGTCATTTACTTGAACATGTTTGGGATAATCTGATGGGTGGATGTAGAATGGCGAAGTGGTATCAATTTTCTCATCATCTTTCTTGTCAGATCCTTCTGGTATATCTCCTGCCATGCTCGCCGGAGATTATTATCGTCCCTAGAAAACGATTTACTTTGATACCATGAAAGTTTTAGTATGAACTGACTTCAATTGGGATTCATTATTCTTACTAAACAGGTTACAAACGATTACAATAAATAGAGTCTGATCACAAAAGGCTAACTACCAATACTAACAAATATTAGAGATAAAACTTAAGAATAGATAAGATTTATATTATTTCCTGTAATCTAGTATTTGTTATTATCTCTTTCTATATTGTATGTATTATAAATACCGTGAAATACAATATACGATCTTAAGGTGATCATTAAAACCTTTATATGGTATCAGATTAGGTTTTCTATTCCCTTCCTCATCATGGTCGGCAAAACCTCCTTTTCTGATTCTTCCTTCTCCCTCAACATTATTCTTCATATGATTACAAATAAACTCTCCCCCACCAACTATCTTCTTTGGCGTAATCAGTTACTTACTTTGCTTGCTTATCAGAAGCTATCAGGCCATATTGATGGCACTATTGCTATCTCCTCCAAAACGACAGCCCCTAATGTTGCCGGCTCTTCTAGTCCCAATCCTGCTTACACTTCATGGATAGAAGATGATCAGAAGGCATTCTTAATCATTCAGGACTCTCTCATAGAGGCTGCCATGGCTGAAACTCTCGGTCTCACTACTTCCTATGAAGTATGGACTGCTTTGCAGATTACCTATCGTCAGGACTCCCATGAACGGATGCATGTTCTCAAGTATAACCTTAGACAGCTACAGAAAGGTACTTCTATTGTCTCTGAATTTGGTGTTAAATTCAAAGGTATTTGTGATCAGCTTTCAGCAATTGGTCATCCTGTTGATGCAACTGACAAAAATCATTTGTTTCTTTGTGGTCTTGGCACATCTTTTGAAACCTTTTGAACCACATATTGTGCTATTAAAACTCCTACCCCTTTGTGTGACTTAATCTCTCAAGATGAGTCTCATGAATTATTCCTCAGAGCGATCCATGGTTCAATTGTTCCTACTGTTGCTTTTACAACAAATCAACAATCCCATCGTGGGGGTTCTACTACTTCTAATCGTAACACAGGTCGCGGACGTGGTGGTCAAACTGGTGGACGTGGTAGGGGACGTCGATCTTCACATTGTCAATTGTGCAGAATAATGGTCATTATGAAAGTTCCGGTCCCGAATTAAGTACTTTTCAGGCTCGACAAAACACCCCTGGAAACAACAATCTAGCACAGGCCTTTCAGGCTCAGTGTCATGTGACTAGTAACTCACCTGATTGGTATGTTGATTCAGGTGCTACCACTCACATGACTTCTTCTCCCAACAATCTTGACTACAGTAATCATTATCATGGTAATGATCAGGTCATGTTTGGTAATGTTAATTACTCTTCTATCTCACATATTGTTCACAAATCTCTCTCTCTCTCTCTATCTCTATCTCTATCTCTATCTCTATCTCTCTCTCTCTCTCTCTCTCTTGATATTAAACTTAGTGATGTTCTTGTTGTCCCCAACATCACCAAGAATCTGCTATCCATCAATAAACTAACGGATGATTCTCCAATTGATGTTTTATTTTCTAATCCTTTCTTTGCAATTTAGAATCGAGCAACAAAGGAAATCTTGGTAAAGGGAAAATGTGAGAATGGTTTGTATGTGCTAAAGCAAGCACACAAAGTTTTCTTTCAAGTTTACAATCTTCTAAATCACGTGCATCTCATGAATTATGGCATAATAGACTAGGGCATGTTTCATTTGACATTATTTCATTATTGAATAAAAATGGTGCTTTATCTGTTACTGAAGGATTTTGAACATTCTAACACTCCTAAGGTGTACATGCAACCCTAGAAACCTTGGATCTATGTTTTACTAAGATACATGCAAATTTGATTTCGATGGTTATTAACCTAACTAGCATGGCATGGAAACTTTTAAACATAACAGCTAGTTGAATTACATACCTTTTTGTTGTTTGGATTTCTTGAGAACCTTGTAAGCTTAGCACCTCAAGTGTGATGCCTCAAATGTCTCACACAACACCACAACACTTGGAATAACCTTGAGAGAAGTACACTTACACTCAAAATTCGGTTAGCCCTCTTACACTTGCTTGTAGTGGCTGCTTTTGCTAGACTTTGGGTATTTATATAATTGTGTCATAAGTAGGGTTACACCATGTAAACCGTAATTGTCATGGCTTTCCATATTCCATGATCCATGGGTTTATAACTCACATGGACTATCCATGGAGCACCTTATGGGTTTAGCCCAATTCATATAAACCATGGATCATTAGCCCACTATACAAGAATAGATGATTTACACAATCAACCCCATATATTTACTTAGTCTCTTTTTGATCACTTAATTAATTCCATATTAGTTCTTTGATCAATACTAATTAAATAATATTATTAATATATTAGAACTTATAATATATTAATAATCCTTAAGTGTCCTTTCTCTCATTTAGTCTATCCAAGTGTTGCAATGCCATGCAACCCAAATGGACCATTCAAATCGGGTCAAGTACATTCCAGAAATAGTTATGAACTTAGACACCTAATCCAAAAGTTACATCTTTATTGCCTAAACCACATGTTTGTTCTTCATGTCAATTATCAAAAAGAAAGAAACTACCATTCCAACTTAACACTAAATGAGCTTCTCAAGTTCTTGACTTAGTTCACTGTGATCTTTGGGGTCCTGCACCCATTGTATCTACAGAAGGATATCGATACTATTGTGTGTTTGTTGATGATTTCTCTCGCTTTACATGGTTCTATCCACTAAATCTCAAATCAAATTTTATTACGATTTTAACAGCTTTTCTTTCCTTTGTTCAAACTCAATTTGAATGCAAATTGAAAACCTTTCAAACAGATGGTGGTTCCGAGTTTGTTAATAATCATGTTAGCACTATTTTAGTCAACAATGGCATACATCACCATTTATCATGTGCCTACACACCACAACAGAATGGTAGAGCGGAGAGAAAGCACCGTCATGTTATAGAAACCGGCATTGCAATGATGTTTAATTCGAGTGCCCCAGCTACTTTATGGGTTGATGCGTTCTGTTCAGCAACTTATATTATCAACCGCCTTACCTCTAAGCTTCTCGATTACAAAATTCCATTTGAGCTACTTTATCACTCCTCTCCCAACTACAATGTTTTTAGAGCGTTTGGGTGCACCGTATTTCCTTATTTACGCAACTACTCAGCAAACAAGTTGGAACCAAGGAGTGCATCTTGTATTTTTATTGGTTATAGCTCACAATATAAGGGTTATCGATGTTTAGATCCTACATCCGGACGCATTAACACAACTCGTCATGCGGTTTTTGAAGAAAATCAATTTCCTTTCGCTGCTATTACTTCTCCACCCGATCAAGCACATATGGGTTTCTCTGAATTTGATGATGTTTCTTCTTCTTCGCTATCTGATCCATCATTTCTGGACTCATCTCCTTCTGACTCGATGCACATAGTTATAGCAGCCACTAATTCTCCATGTTCTTTATGTCTGCCATCTGATTTGCCTAGCTTGGCTACCACTCCTGATCGTACAGCAGCCCCATCTCCACCGCTACAGCAGCCAACAACCGCAGGTTCTCCTTTTCCTGCTGATGACCCGACTCCATCTTCAAATTTGTCTTTCGCATCAGCTGCTCATCACAATACTCATCCGATGATAACACAGCTAAAAGATGGTATTGTGAAACCAAGACACGTAGTTGATATTGCTATTCTCCATCAGTCTCCCTTACATCAACTTATATTTTCCTCTAAAGAACCTCGTAGCTACAAAACAGCTGCCAAAAACCCATGATGGTTATCTGCAATGGAAGATGAGATGAGAGCTTTACGCTCCAATCATAATTGGGACTTGGTGCCTCGTCCATGTGAATCCAATGTTGTAGGTTCTAAATGGGTCTATCGCATTAAATACAATTTTGATGGCACTATTGACAAATTCAAGGCTCATTTAGTTGCTTAAGGATTCAGTTAATTTTCTGGGATTGACTATACTTATACTTTCAGTCCTGTCGTCAAATTTGCGACTATTTGTATTATGTTGTCTCTAGTTGTCATGCATAAATGGTCCTTACATCAATTGGATGTAAATAATGCTTTTTTAAATGGAAAACTCACTGAAACAGTTTTCATGGAGCAACCACCCGGATTTGTTGATGATTGCTTTCCCAATCATGTGTGTCAACTAAAGAATGCACTGTATGGGCTCAAACAAGCACCGCGAGCACGGTTTCAACGTTTAAGCTTGTTTCTTGTTAGCCTTGGTTTTATATGCACTCGAGCTGATACTTCTCTATTTTTCTTCAAACGTGACTCTCACATCTTGTACTTACTTGTCTACGTTGATGACATCATCCTTACCGGTAATCATCCACCTCTTATTCGCAAGTTTATTTCCAAACTTTACTCGGAATTTGTTGTTAAGGATCTTGAAACATTGAACTATTTCTTGGGTCTCGAGGTCTCATATATGGATGATGGGCTATTTCTATCTCAGTCCAAATATGTACATGATATTCTAGTTAGAGTTGATCTTCTTGACTACAAACCAGTATCCACTCTGTTATCTACTACAAATGTGCTTGTTTCCACTGGATCGCCATTTTCTGATCCAGCCATATATCGCTCTTTAGTATGTGCATTGCAATATTTAACAAGTATGCGTCCTGACTTGTCATATGTTGTTAATCAAGTCAGCCAATTTCTTCATGCTCCTACCGTCGATCATTTTCAATATATAAAGCGGATCCTCCGATATGTTAAGGGTACTCTCTCTTATGGGCTATGTTTCACTTATCCTTGTTCCACTTCTCTTCTTGGTTATTCAGACGCGGATTGGGCACGTTGTATTGAAACACGGAGATCTACCTATGGTTATTCTATTTTTCTTGGAGAAAACTTGGTGTCTTGGAGTGCTAAAAAGCAGCCTACTGTCTCCCGATCGAGTTGTGAATCGGAGTACCGAGCTATGGCTAACACGACAGCTGAAATAGTTTGGATCACTCATCTCTTACGAAAACTTTTTGCTCTGCCTCCGGAACGTCCCACTTTGCTATGTGACAACAAGAGTGCTTTGTTCCTCGGTCAAAATCCAATATCTCATAAAAACGCAAAGCACATTGATATTGACTATCATTTTGTTCGTTAGCTCGTTGCTTCCAGAAAATTGTACACACGGTTTGTGCCCATTGATCTACAGCTTGCGGACATCTTCACCAAAAGTCTTCAACGACCCTTATTTGAGCAATTTCGTGTCAAGCTACGTGTTGGTCCACTACCTTTGCGCTTGAATGGGGGTATTAAAGATAAAAACTTAAGAATAGATAAGATTTATATGCTTGAATGGGGGTATTAAAGATAAAAACTTAAGAATAGATAAGATTTATATTATATGTTGTAATCTAGTATTTGTTATAATCTCTTTGTATATTGTATGTATTAGAAATACCGTGAAATACAATATACGATCTTAAGGTGATCACTAAAACCTTTATAACAAATAGGATATCTATCTAAACAAAGATAAGAACCAATGTTAATCCAATAACCGGATAATCATCAAATCCTTTACCGTTACCTTAGGAAACCATGCATATTCACAAGAGTTTTTCTTCTTTCATTTGTATATTGTACATATGTTAAAGGAATTTAGTGGAAAAGTAATAAGAGAAAAAAAAATGCCGAACTGGCTTTAGGAAAGGAAGGGATGGCAACACTATAAGCTTAATTATTTTTTGAGCTTAATGTAGCATGATTTTTATTTAAGACCGCTAAAGTAATATTTATACTAGCTTTTAAAAAACTATTTGAGATATGTATGTAAATGTCATTTTACATTTGGTATCTAACCTATCATTGGTTTTACATAACACAATTCTTTTATTGGCTACCAACTAGTTTATCATCAGCAAAAAAAATTAGTTTTTTCAGTCGCTCTGTCAAACACAACTAAACTACGAACATCTATTATGTAAACCTCCTAAGATACACAAAATCAACAATCAACACTTTCAAAAAGAATCTATATTCTATCTTAAATCATCTTTTATTCCATCGACTGCCCATTTTTACAAGCGTCGCACCAAGAAAAGAAATAAAAACACTCCTAACCAATTCCTTTCGTCACTTTCTTTATACATGGTAACAACAAAAGAAACTACTAAAGTAAAACCCACGAACCCAAAATAAAAAAAGGAAGAAACAATCCATTATCCATACTTATCTACTTTTATAATCTGTACATTTTTATTTAGAGTTGAGAATTCAGAGTAGTCGACAAATTTCAGTTTGCTTGAACTGGTTCTTAGCTTGGTGATACGACCAGTAACCATGAGCGGTCAACACCCTGTCCAGGAGCTCCTGTGGGACCGGCTCACCTCTCCTTTGCTGTGGTGATATACGTGCCGTGTGCACCAATGTCTTCCACTTATCCTGCATCAAAAATAGCAATGTACTTTCATTCATTTCAAAATCCACCAAATTATTTATTTATTATAATTCCATAATAACAAATTATTGCTATAAAATAAATACCTTCAAATCCACATAAGTCCGGTGCTTTGCATCATCAAAAGCTCTCAATTTAACATCACGCCATCTGAAGATTCAAATATCAAATCACTTCAGCAACGTTTTTTTTTTTTTTTTTTTTTTTTAATAAATTAATAGATTTAATAAAACTTTTTACCTTCCTGTTCCAAGCTTCTCAACCGCTTCAACCAAAGCTTCCACTTCAGACACCGAAAAGGGCCTACGAATCCTCCGTTGTGCCACCTCAGCATGCTTTGATTTCCTCACCGGAACCACCGCCAGTCCACCGCCACTGTCGGCGGCCGGAACCGCCACCAGTTCCCGTGAATCCACACCGATTATGGTCCTAGAATTAGTCACGGATGCATCATCATGCTGGATTACTACTTCATTAGAATACCTAATATGAAATGATTACACATATATTAGTCTATTAGTCTATTATCATTAACACAACTCATGAGTCATGACATATTATGTATACCTTGTTAATGACTTGGGTGTGCCAGGTGGCGACACCACATACCGATCTTGAAACTTATTAGGCTCTAAAGTGAAACCAAGAGCATCTAGCTTGTTATCATGGCAAATACCAGTTTGTAAAAGAGTTTTTTCATCATCTCTAATTCTCTTCCCTTGAAGCATCACACCAACATGTAACTCACCACTAAATATAGCAGTCACAGCCTCCATAACCGTTCTCTATGTAAAAAAACAAAAAAGTCAACATAAGTCAACCGTTAACTACAGATAATGTTTCCATTCAAGAAAAGATTTGATATAAGTTGACAAAAGTATGTACCTTTAGAGAACTAACAGTTGCTGTTTCGGGTATTTCAATAACAAACTCGGGTACCCTAAAAGACTTGATCTTGAGTTTCACTGAGTCAAACAAAAAAAGATTCTTTAATTTTGAATTAAAAGAGTGGACAAGATTAAATACACCAAAAGGGTGTCATTTACCATGAGAATCTTGAGTTTGAAAGGCAGGATCTTGAGATGTGGGACCCAAACTGGAACCATCTTCATTGGAATTGGAAGGGTTGTCAAACTGGTAAAGTTTTCGTTTTTTGAAAGGGTAATCCCTTAAAGATCTTTGATGTTTATAGAAACTTTTCTTGTTACGATAATCTGAAATGACATTAAATCCCATTCAAATTCAAGAAAAGGAGTAAAGATAAACACAATTGTATAACAACATAATCATAATTACTTACCATCGTTTAATTTTGGACAGTTTTTCCACTGTTTGGATGCCAATAATCTTCTAATTCTTCTGTCACCAATTCGTGAAGGTGGCCCAAAAGTCTTGTTATTTTGAGTGCATCCACAAGAGTTGTCGTCATCATCTCTAATAACTAAATTTACATTACTATCTAAATTGTTGACAAGTGGAGGCTTCCCATTGGTGGGAACCTCGTTTGTCATTTCCTTATTGTTTGTATCTTCTATTTTACAAATTTCCACAGATCTTGGAGCAGATGGAGCCTTCTGGGAGAAGTCGGAAACAGTGATTCCGGAGGTAGGACCGGAATCGGAAACCGGAGCTTTTGAGATAATCTCAGACAAAAAGAAGCTCTTATTGCAGCTTCCTTGATCACAATCTTTTTCTTCTGTTTTAAAAACTTTGTTTTCTTCTTGATTTGGTTTATCACCTTCATGTAATAACTCTCCAGCAACAGTTGCTAGTAAGTCGAATGCACACATTCGATCTTCGTTCTTTTTCCAAGATTTTGAAGCCCTTTTCTGAAATAATTAGAGCATGAAATTGGATTCTTTTTATGTATAAAAAAAAAATGAGAACTTTTGGGAATTTGGAAAATTAGAGATTTCCGGATTTACCCTGGCTGATCTAGGAGCCCGAGGCGTTGGGGGCACCTTGTAACCGTTGAATCCATATTCTAGCCTCTTTTGTAACACCATATCTTGGTATAAAGAAATTTATCAAACACTTCACGACATGTTTTCTTGATCTTCTTGAAAGTCTACAAAGATTTGACACCTAGAAGAAGTTCATCATTTATCAAACATTCAGGTCAATCTGTAATGATTCAAGAATAATAAACGAACAAATACACAAGATAGATACTACGATTACTGCATTGTGTTTGTTTACTGCAAAGCCAGCTGATAAAAGATCAGAAGCCCTGGGTTTCATTTATTTATATTAGAAAATTCTCTGTGAAGCAATATATCAAACACATAGAAGGCATTGGTATCAAGGTTTAAGATAACTGTTACTATGATTGATTCAATATCACCTTAAAATTATTTTAAGATCTAAATTTGTAAAAAAGGATTTTTTTTTTTTTTTTTTTTAAATTCAGATCAGTAAACAGAACGAGGAAGCATATGCAGATCATGATGATGGTTATAAAAAGGAAAAAAGATGATGAATTGATTTGATAAGGAAGTATGAATCTGAAATAGAATTGTTTAAGAGTAGGGCACACCACCAATCTCCATGGAAGCAACAAGCACAAGCAAGTACGAATCTGACACACGATTCAGAAAAGGTAGGGCACACCACCAGCAATCTCCATTGAAACAGGAGCACTATTACGATATTTGATGGGACTTTATATCAATAAAAGGTTTAGAAAGCACGAAAACTCAATATGGAAAAAGCATCTAAAGTTGAAATTGAAAAGGGTTTGAATTCGTAAGATGATGGGATTAGGATTGAAATAAATGAAGAGGGGAGAAGAATTCAAACCCCTCGTAAAAACCCTGAAGAAAGATTCGAAAAGATCTGTATGCGTAAACAAATTATAATATTTTTTCTTTTGATGATGTTTAAAATCTAAAACCCAAAAGCAGATCAAACTAGAAACGAACTCCATGGTCGTCAAGCCTACCTGGAAAATGAAAATATGAGAATTTTGGGAGGATCTTACATGGTAACTGAATTTCGCCAACATAGAAACAAATTTCAGACATAAAAACTTAGATCGAACCCATCAGAATCGAAATTCAGAACAAAAAGAAAACCCGAAAAAAATAGTAAAAACTGTACGATAATGCTTGTTTGGTTGTGATGAATTTGGAGGGAAATTCGAGAAATTTCCATCAAAAGTTAAAATTTGTATCAGGAAAACTCGGGAAACAAATCAAGAGTTTGAAACTTTACAAGAAAGCAACAACCCAATTCAATCTCGAAAATCTTCTCTCACCTCTAATAAACCCGCGATTTGCCCAAGAATTCACCAAACTGTTTCTTCAAGATCCCGATTTTCTGAAGCAAATTTTATACATACTAGGAAATGTGAAAATGGAATGATCGAAAACCCACAAACCCAGATCACCAAAGTTGTTATCGATCAAGCAAAACCCATGAGTTTTTCACCTTTGATAATTAATCTCATTTGTCCTTCATACACCAAATGTTGTTTGATTTGTTTCAGACGCAACCTCTTCTTAATTTTCTCTCTCTATTTTCTCTCTTGGTTATTTCACTTTCTCTATCTAGAAATTCTTGAAAAGATGATGAATTATAGTTGAGAGATGAGAGATGAGGATGAAAAACAAAAACCCTCTGAAAACCACCCAACCATTGGCCTTAAACCCCCAACTGTTTATACTCATTGACCCTTGTTACCGGATGTATCGGTAAAAGACTCGAGTATTACCGGCTACACCAGGTTACACACACCTCGGCACCCTATAAGACCGGTTCTACGCAACAAGATGACCCACACACTCACCCAACATGCTCCCAGATGTCTCCACGTGGAAAGCTGTCTGAAATCCAGTGGTGTCTAGAGCATTAGCCAGATCGAGAAAAACGTTGGGTCACCAAGAGAGCAGGGATACAATTGTAATTTCATATTTGGTGTTTCATTTCTTTTAGCCTTTTGTTTTCGGACATCCATTTGAATTTATTTTTCTAAATTTAGACAAGTCCTTAACAAAAGACTCCCTCTTCTTTCATTGATTGTCTCCTTTTTTTTTCCGAAATATATCCATGTAATATTTTACTTTCATCTATTTAAAAAAAAAATAATAATATTAAAGCCCAATTAATCAACATTTTTAAGCAAAGAAAATTTGTATTTTATTCTTTATAAATATATAATTCTCATAACAAGAAATCATTATTACGGGATACCATCATAAATGTCAAGGATGTAGATGTAAACTATTGAAAACAATCTTTAAATTGTTAAAACCTTTTAAGTGCTATCGTATATCAGTACTACAATTTATTCATAACAACAATTTTTTGGTGGATAAACAGACAACGATAATAACTTTTTTAAGAATAGATCAAACATTCAATTGATGGAATGACAATAGGTAAAAAGAATTTATTTGTAGGAAATATATTGAAATTGATGGGCAAAGATAAGGAAATGACATGTAGGATAAAAGTGTAGAATACATACAATCCTACGTGGTAGGGAAACGAGCTAGTATTGGATGCTTTATGCCCAAAGTATTATCCCTTTTTTCATAAATGGATTGAATATGACCGGCGATAAGGGATTAAAGGAGGAGAAGGATCTACTTACACGTGCGAATAAGATAAACACTTCACTCTCTTTATAAAATCACACCACATGTAAATAGGGTAAACAAGGTAACAAGATTTTACACACCATCTCCTGTAAAATCCTTTAATTTAATTAATTTGCTTTTAACTATAAAATATTATACTGTACAACTCTATAATGCATAAATTGTTGTGTATAATAAAAAACTGTTATATTGTGTATGAATCACTTCTCATTATAAATTTGACGTATGGTTGTCTGAGAATTCAAAATTTTCTAAATAAAACTTTAGTTTCTTTCATACAATATACAAATTTAAATAAAAACCATATATCGGTTATTTTGTATCACTATTAAATATTTATTAATGGCAATTTAGAGTAAATTATATTTTAAACATTCAATAACTTCCAATTTATTATAAATATATACAAAAACTAAACTTTCATTTGTGAGTCATAACTACCGTTAGCTAAAAGTATTTGATTTTATGCATGATGTATAAGTGTTTAATGCAGAAAGTCCAAATTAAATCCCCCAACTTTCTATAATCCTTCACTTATAACCTCTACTTTGTATAACATGTTACTTGCAACCCTTGTACTTTGTTACTTTCACCTTTTCATTTTCTAAACTTTTGTGTTTATCTCGGTCCCCGTAAAATTTATTATAGCTAATAATACAAATGGTAAAACCTTTAATTTTTAAAATGATATTTTTCTTCTCTTTACTTTGTAAATTATCACTTCACCCCCTTCACCTTCAACTTTATAAATTATCACTTTTACCCCTTTATTTTCTAAAATTTTGTATTTATCCTTGTTCTCGTTCATTGTAACTATTAGTACAAGTGGTAATGCTTTTATTTTTAAAATATAAATTTCACCCCTCTACCTTCAACTTTGTAAAATATCACTTTCACCTCTCATTTTCTAAGTTTTTGTGTTTATCTTCGTTCCGTAAAATTTACTAAAATTGACTGTAGTGAATAGTACAAGTGGTAATGCACAATATACAAGCATATCAATGCTTAAAGTGTAGTTTTAATCCCTCAACTTTGTATAATCTGTCATTTTAAACCCTCATATTTAGTAAAATGACTTTTTTCATACTTTTACTTTTTTAAAATATCACTTTCACCCCTCTGTTTTCTAAACTTTCATGTTTATCACGTAGTATATATAAATATGATTTTTCCTCCTATACTCTGTAACATGCATTTTCCATCCCTCTATCTTTTAAAATTTTACTTTACTCTCTCAATAGAAAAAATCACTATAACTGATACGATTTTATATAATCCGTTGGTTGCAACCCCTCTATTTTGTAAGATAAAATTTCTATCAATTTATTTTTTAAAGTATCAATTTCACCCCCTCCACCTCCAACTTTGTAAACTATCACTTTTACCTCTTCATCTTTTATCCTCAACTTTGCATTATCCGTCACTTGGAACCCTTTTATTTTATAAAATGATATATTCCATCTTTTTACTTTTTAAAATATCATTTTCACCCCCTCCGTCTTCAACTTTTGAAAATTTCACCTTCACTCAATCGTTTTCTAAACTTTCGTGGCTATTCAGTATCCCCGTAGTATATATAATCTGATTTTCTCTCATCTACTTTCGTAACAAAAACACTTAAAAACCCGCGACAAAGCGCGGGCTCAATTACTAGTTAGTAATATTATAGAAAGTTATGTATTTTCTAAAAAACAATTAGAAAAAATTATTCATCAACTTTTTTTAGAAAATAAAATTGCTGAAAAAAAAAATAATAATAACGCATATATGCATATTAGTATTTGAATTAGTGATGAGTGTTCATCCAATGGAATCAGACTGGACCGAAATAAAATCGGATTTGGACCAAAACTAGAACTGGTGTATTCGGTCCGCTTTTCAATTCTTTATTTCTCACTAAATCAGTTCTTCGGTTCTCAGTTCAATTCGAGTCGGGTCTAGAACCGAACACATAAAAAAAACACATTTACCTGTAGAATCAAATAGAACCGGAACCCAGGTATTTGGTTTGGTTCTCGGCTGTTCAGTCCCTAATAAATTGATTCTTGATCCGGGTCTGAACCGATACTCATCCTTAATTTGTATTGTTATATATTCATTATATAGATATGCATACTCAATAACATACATACATATATATATATATATATATATATATATATATATATATATATATATATATATATAAGTTCAAAAGAGAATCATTATTAATGGTTCTCCAAGGAATCAAATACTTTTTCAAGTTTTAAAGTTTATTTTTTATCGAAAAAAATTTTAATTGTGCTAAAAAAATAAATTATATATTTTTCGAATTCACTGTTTGAATTCAGATTCACATTGTAAATCTACACATATTCACATTGTGAATATGCATAGATTCACTGTGTGAATTTGACGAAAAAAATAAATTGCTTTTATCGAATTTGATATCATTGGAAATTGATAAAAAGTTATGAATTTTTGTTCTTTTTTTTTTTTTGATAAAAAATAAGCACTAAAAGTTGAAAAAAAGATTGGTTCCTTGGTTTTATAGTTAATAATGGTTTTCTATTGAACTTCACCACATATATATATATATATATATATATATATATATATATATATATATATATACATACATATATATATACATATATATATACATACATACATACATATATATATATATATATATATATATATGAGAGATCAATAGAAAATGCATAATTAGTGTTAATTTGTGACATCCAATAAAAACATAACATGTGTCACTTTAAAATAAGTTACATGAATCGTCCTTGTGTTTTACAATATTTACCCTAATCTACCAACCACTACACATTTAAGACTCTCTCTCTCTGTAACACCCAGAATCTAGAAGGTTAATGATGGAATTATGCCAAACTCAAGTTGAACTCGGCGAATGGGAGGAGGCAACTCAGCGAGTTAAAGATTAAGAATCATGGGATTTAGTGATCTACTCAACGAGTTGAGGAGCCTCAACTCGGTGAGTTGAAGTTAGCTTGACGGCGAAGTTTAATGAGGCAACTCGACGAGTTGAGGAGCCTCAATTCGGCGAGTTGACCTTTCAAAAGGAAAACCTAATTTTCAGTGTTTTGCACCCTATTTAAAGGCCTTAAACTTCCTTGGCCAGCCTCCTTATTAGCCTCCTTGTCCTCCTGAAACCTTAAATCGAGTTGTGTGCCTCATGTTGGGAATCTTGCGGTTTTGAGGGGATTTTGTGTGTTTTTGGTGCTTGGTGAAGGTTTGGAAGAGCTTAAAGTTGTTTAGCTTGGAGGGAAGCTTTGGGATCCAGAATCTATTACACTTTTGGCAACCATTTGAGGTAAAAAGTTTGGAAATTGGTGATTAATAGCTTACATCTTCTCATTTGGGTTTTATTGTGATTTTGGCCTCCTTTTTTAGTTTATGGATAAGATAGGTGGTGTAAAGGTTCATCCTTTCAGATCTGAGTTTGTTTTGCTACCCTTGAGCTTAAAGGTGCAAACTTTAGGAGGATCTTGATGTCATGTATGCATTAAGTCGAGTATTAAGTTCATTTCAAGCTTAAGAGCTTCATCTAGACATGCATGGACGTAAAGTTACCAACTTTATGTAGTTTTCTAGCTCAAGGAAATCAAATCTATGTTTTGTGGCCATGCCTTTATGGATTAGGTGCTTAATGAATTAAGCTGTTGGACTTTGAGCGAACTCGATGAGTTTATGGATAAACTCGACGAGTTGGCTTAGCTTTCCCCGATATTTTCAGATGAATATAGGAACTCGACGAGTTAGTGTGTAAACTCGGCGAGTTGACTTAGGTTTTCTCAATTTGTGTAGATTGATGGAGAAACTCGACGAGTTGAAGGACAACTCAGTGAGTTGGATCAACCTAGACGTTGACTTTGACTTTTGACTTATGTCTTTGACCAAGTTTGTCCCAATGGGTGTTTGTGGTAACCTGATTTGGATTTAAGGAACATATGGGATTAGGATAAGCCCCATATAAGGTTGGGCCCAATTTGGAAAACTAGGCCATTAGTGGGCCTTTGAGGATCTTTTGGTTTTGGGCCTCAGTTTTGGTGTATGTTGGGCCAGGGGTAAAATGGTCATTTTACCCCAAGTATGGATATTGGTTTATGGAATGGAACGCGATTGCTATTTGGGTGTGTTGTTAGTATTAATAGCTCGGGAAGCCGACAGGGCAGTAGCTAGGGATTTCTTTCGGGATGCTTCTACATTTGAGGTGAGTTTTTTCCTTACTGTACTTATGTGGCGAAGGCACCAAGGTCGGCCCTTTGGATTGTTATCCTGGTTATCGTATGCCTGTATGTTGTTATGATCTGTTAGATCGGTATCCTGGTAGATAGGATGTTGTTATGTTGTTATGATTTGTTAGATCAGTATCCTGGTAGATAGGATGTTGTTACGTTGTTATGATCTGTTAGATCGGTACCTAGTAGATAGGATGATGCTATGCTTATTGATCTGTATGATATGTGCTTACATGTTGGTTGATTATGTGTTTATGAGTTATGTATATGTCGACATGTGTGTATGTGGTCGGGTCGAGGTGGTCCTGCTTTGTGCTAAAGGCCAACAAACCCAGGGTGGCTCAGATAGACTGAAGGCCCTGCAAGGCGGTCCAGTCAGGCCGAAGGCCCAACGAGTGGTTTGGATAGGTTGTGGGCCCTGAGAGGTGGTCCAGTCATATTGCAGGCTCGAGAGCGGCCCGGATATGTTGTAGGCCCTATGAGGTGGTCCGATCATGTTGAAGACTCGGGAGCGGTCTGGATAGGTTGTAGGCCCTGCGAGGCGGTCCAGTCATGTCGAAGGCTTAGGAGCGGTCTGGATAGGTTGTAGGCCATGCGAGGCGGTCCAGATACGATGTAGGCCCTACAAGGTGGTCCAGTCAGGCTGAAGGCTCTGTATGCGTGTTGTTATTTGTATATGTTATCTGGTTGGGCGTTGGTAGTTTGGCGGAACTCACTAAGCTCTGTGCTTACAGTTTTGGTTTATGGTTTCAAGTACTTCAGTATATCGTGGCAAGGCGAAGGCATGACCGTACACATTCTCTCATTTTAACCTGATGATTTCTAGGAAACTCTGATAATTTGAATGTTTGGAAACTATGTTGAAAGAGATTCTAATTTTTAAATAATGTTTTAGGAACAACGGTTTTTGTAAACACTTCTATTCCAAAAAGGGCTGTTTTGATAAGTTAAAATTTTTGGGATGTTACACTCTCTCTACTGCTTTGCCGGAAACTACCTCAATTACCAAAAAACCACCTCCTTTGCCAGAAACCACCACGATCATCGAAAACACTACCTTAACCGCTACTATTTACACTCGAAACCACCATCAACACCATTAAAAATCCCAATAATTCCATAAAAATATACGAACCGAAGACCAGAGGGACTAAATCAACATGTAGATTCCCATGAACGTCGAGACAAGTGATATCAGGAAAAGCCTTGATCAAAAGCTTGACTACTTCAACGGATGATTTGGATCCACCAACAACAACCATGTGTAAAGTAGTTGCTCTATTGAATCGGAACCATATGCTTTGTTAACATCAACAAAAGTAAATCCAAGAATGAACTTTGTAACCCGTTTGCTACCAAACATCGAGGCAATCATAATAGGTGTGCTTTCCTCAAGCATCATCTTCTTCGATCCTATCGATCTACCATACCATAAATCAGAATCGTTGATATTGAAACCATCTTCTTCAACCACTAACTTAAATCCTTCCAAATCATCCACAGCCACAAACTCTAGCAAAATTAAAATATTACTAGCGATTTTATCTTGCTTCTGACCTTCAATATAGTCCATAACCACATCACTAGTGCACATATTTTTGTTTACGACTTTTTCATGATCAAACACTCGCTTCCTACAAAATATTAGGACAAACAAAAATATTTCAATCATCAGAACCATAAGCATAAAGGACGTATCTGCAATAACAAATAGAATTGATGTTGACATCTAACTTCAATTCAGTCTAAGTTCTCTGAAAATTTTCCTCGAGAAAATCAGAAACAAAAAAAATTAAGTGAAAATTTTCCTCTATCAAATCAAAAACGAAACAAAGTAACTTCTATGGTACTTGACGGATAGTGTATTGGGCGGTGGTCGAATTTGAAAATCGGTGGTACTTGACGAACGTCTGATGTGTTAGGATATAGGAATGTTGAAGCATCGGCGACTCTAGGATTGCAAAGAAATCGGAAAACATCGTTGGATAAATATGATAAGTATATGACGAGTGGGTGTGCAACGGCGAGTCTGGTAGATAAACCAAAGGTCTCTGCCCTAGATGGTGGTGGAGGGGGTTTCTGTTCATCAAGGGTTAAAGTGGTTTTTATGATCGTTGGAATTACAATTGTTGAGGCAACCAATTTTCATCATCGCAAGTCTGAGAGAGATGTGATGAAGTGAACGACATAGAGACATGAAGGACAACATTTCTTTGATTTAATCAAAATATGAAAATAATAATACAATAGATTAATTAAAGACTAATTTTTAAATTATAAGGACTATTTTTACTACTAAAATAACTTTTAAAAAATAAACATGTGTCACTTCCTAATTAGTTCCTATACTTCTAACCCTAATATGCATTTTCTATTGATTTTGATATATATATATATATATATATATATATATATATATATATATATATATATATATATATATATATATATCACTACTAGAAAAACAGCCTTTTACGATGCTCATTGCGCGTCGTAAAAGGCTCAGACGACGCGCAAATGCGCGTCAAGGAAGGCCCTGTCATAAAGAGAGACAACGCGCTTTTACGACGCGCGTTTACGACACGCAATGTGTATCAAGGAAGGCCCTGTCATAAAGGAAGACGACACGCATTCGCGTGTCATAACCTTACGACACGCGTGTTAATGACATGCAATGCGTATCAAGAAAGCCCCTGTCAAGAAAGGTCATGTCATAAATGAAGGCGACACACATTTTTGCGGATCGTAATTTTAAATTTTTTTAAAAAAATTATTTATAGATTTACTGATTTTCAATTTGCATTTCATGTCTCATAATACAAAATATACAATACATTGCACAAAAGTTAATGTCATACAAATAATCATTCCAATAGTAGAAAAATGTAATACATCAAATAATCATTCTAATAGTAGACAAATGTAACATTTGAACATTTTTTATATAATTAACTAAATTATTAGCCAAATTTCCTAAACTACCAACATACTTTTCTATGAAGAGCATTAACACTATTCTTTTCCATCAAAAAATTCAAAACCTGCATAATTAAATTAATGTTTAATCAGCTACAGGTCAATAAGGTAGGTTTAAGCAAAAGATTTTCATAATAGTAAGATTTTACTTATCACTGTTGTTAATGACATTGAAAGAAGCAGCCCAACAAACACCCCCTCAGAAGGATTTTCATAATAGTTGATACTTTATTACTAAATGAAACCAAAAACAAAGTTAAAAGTAAACAAAATTAGAAGGTTTTAGTCAAACTTACAAAGGCTATAATTCCAAATATTACTAAATGACATTGATTGAACCACCTGCAGATGTACCATTTTGTCTCAATGAGATTCACTACTGAACACATTCTACAGTTTGTAAACTATATATATATATATATATATATATATATATATATATATATATATATATATATATATATATAATATGCTTCACTATTTCCAAAACCAGAAGCTGAATCCATCAACAACTCTTACATGTTCATAGTCTTTAACATAATGTATAAGTAAAAAGAACATGTAATAGATATTAACAACAATGATCATAATCATACCTGAAGCTCAAGTTCAGCAGCAGACCTGTAACTCAAGATATCTTCTATATCAGATACTTTCTCCATTTGGTCTAACTCCAAAACAATTTCATCATCCAGAGGCTAATCATCCACTTTTCTAATTTATCTCTCCACTTACAAAAATATTGGTTTTCCCATTATACCCTTTTGTTCATTAAAAAAAATATATGAAGAAGCAATTCCAAATCAAAAAAAAGTATTGGTTTTCCCATTATACCCTTTTCTAATTTATCTGGTTGTTGAGTTCAGAGGTTGGTGTTTATGGGAAAGCAGCACCCTCTAAACCCACCAAAAAGTGATGTTAGGGTAAAACCGTATTTTTCTGAAAAAATTTAGGGTTTTTATGCGAATATCCCCTAAAACAAACAATTTTTTTTTCTGTTGTGATGGAATGAGCCATGATTCCATCATAAGGAACACTATATTAGAAAGCTAAAACCAACCTGAACAAGGGTTAGAAAGCTGTTGGTTGCCTAATATAACAACTTGCCCTGCAAAAGCATATTACAAAGATCTGAATCATTAACAACGACTAACTCACATTATCTTATTAATGGATACTCAAGGGTAAACTAGTCAATAGCAGCAACAAAAAAAAAAAAAAACACTATACATATTCCTTGCATGTAGTTTAGATTTAGATGATATAAACTGCAAGTATGTTAATTGCAATATATTAGAACTTAGATTCACCTTGGGAAGATTAAATCCAACAAAAAATATAGGAATTGTGAGGCACTCCAAGTAGAACCTGTTATAATACAACAAAAAGCCAGAGATGTTAGAATACATGTATTTAATGTATTTAATATTGTCACATGTCATGGACATGCAAGCTGTCCAATGTCAGGAATGGCGGGTAAGAAAAACGTACATTTTTATAAAAAAAAAATGAATAAAAGTCCAAACGGTTGATTTTGTTTTCGTTTAATTGTAAAATTGAAACTTCACTTGCTAAATTTTTTTAAAAAATGGGAAATTTAATCACATATAAAGAAGGTAATCTCTCTCGGGCATTTGATCAAACAACTTGCACGCAATCTGATTTCTAATCTTTTGGTCATTCTAAGCAATCTGATTTCAAACCTTTCTATTAATTTTGATCGGTTTGTTCATCAACTAAACTTTAGTTCCTCAGATATCCAAGTCATAAGACTAAACAAATCAAGACATTAATGAAAATAAACAAACAAATAAATAAAAGACAAAAACAGCGGGCAGGTGCCTATGTAGTTTTTACGTTTCACATAGAAGTTTGATATCCCACACACACATTTAATGAATCGTTTTTCCTTATTATAATATAACATAAAGATATTTTAATTAGGATTATATAAATTTTTTATTAATTTTTTTATCTAATATTAAAAATTATATGTTATTTTACAAATTATATGTTATTTTACCAATTTACCTAACCTGCTAATTTATTTTGGTGTATAATTTTATTGTTAATTAGGAATTTTGCACATGAAATATAATCATTAATTGAATTTTGTTTTTTAATGCTTCATTCATCTTCATGCCATTTCTTTCCTCTCCCACCTCCACCCCTGAAAATACAACAAAACTATTAAAAAAACAAATAATAATAATGTTTTGTTTTGGGTTATATACTTATATACAATAAATAGCAACGTACTTTCGATTATTTTTTTAAATTATAGTAATGTAAACAATTTTTAAAGTAGAATGTTCTAATAAGAATTTTTTTTATTAAAAGTGTTGTAGTTTGGTAAATTTTTAAAGTAGAATTTTTTTTCTGAAAATTACAATTTTTAAATGTTACTTTTTTCAGAAAAGACCTTGTAATTTTTCATTTTTTTTCAATTTGGCCCTTTTAGCAGCTACTTTCCAAAAAACATTGTCGAATGTGAGGGGTTTTTTCAGAAAAAAAGGGTTTTTTTGGAAGAAAAAAAAAACTAAGGGCTTTTTTGGAAAAATGGAAAAATACAAGATCTTCAAGAAAAAAAAATGATGTTTATCCAGAAAAAACTCAATATATAAGGTCTTTTATGACCTTTTTTCAAAATAAAATAAAAATGTGTTGTTTCTTTCATTTTTCCCTTTTGTTATGATCCCCTCCCCTATATAAATATATTAAAAAACAATATTAATTATAGAACAAGATTTAATAATTAAAAAAAACTAACCTAACATCAGCATATGCAAGAATCCAACCACGATCAAGAAGACTTTTTGACTCATTACACCATTTTTAATGAAGCAACTCACCACAAGCACCATGTCCATAAAGCAATCCAGGATTTTCACCTTCTTTTTTCCTTTTATGTGTATAAACAATAGTCAAACCAACTTTGACTCCATCACTAGTAACCACTTGATGATTTTCACAACCATAAAACTCAAAAAGATCATTCCATGACTTTGACTCCCCATAGTTATTACTATTTGATTTATTATCTATTGTGGGTCCCACAGGAGCTGTGCCATATAAAACACATGTTCTTTCTTAAAGCAGGTTTTGTTGTTGAATGATTTCAAATTTCCGATTTGATAAATTATAATCAACAACTGCATCAAGCATCTGAAAAGAAAACAAATTCAGATGGTAAACAAAAAGTAAGGGTTTGTTCGTCATAAAATTTTAACAGAAACATACCACAGGTGATGAAATTGTAAATCGCATGATTGGTGAATAAAAGTCATAATTTGGTCCATGTGAGATTTGGGAAACAGATTCTGGAAGAGGAAGAAAATGTAATCCGAACTCTTTAAGATGAAACACATCCTGTTAGACAAAAGGGAAAAAATGTCTTAAATTTTTATACCCAATAAAAGAAAATAACAATATATGAAATCTGAATCATCATAACATTAATAAAACTATAAAAAAAAAAAACTTATTTCTTGGAAGAGGCAATGCAACTGAACAAAGCCTGAATCTTTCACCTTCTTTAACAATAAGCACCAAATGTGTCACAAAAGTCAACATCCTCAATCACCAAATCATTGTCATCAATAAATACATTCTGTAACATTTAAAAAAAAGGTAAAAAGAAAGTCTTTTTTTTTCATTAAGAAAAAACAACATATCTCAAAAGAAAGTCTAACCTCCCACTTTCTTAGACTTGAAGAGTGAAGAGGGCTACGAAGGGTATAATGGTAATTTACTGATTGCTCTTCTTTGTTAGCATTGGTAAAAAGATAAAGATAGCCTTGATGATGCTCGATAATGCAATGTGCACAAGCTTCACATTCCCACACAAGTGTTAAAGCAGATAGAGGATCAGTTGCATTGATCAGAAAAACCTAAAGAATTCGAAGTTTGAATGATTCTTGAAAGAAAAATCAATGAAATAAAAACAATTAAAGTTAGTATATAATAATACATTTGAATATGTGGTTTAAAACACATAAACAGTCACAAACTTAAAATCCTTGGTATGTCTGATGTTAACTTGCACATTTTCTTCAGGTTCTTCTAAGAGTATCACATCTTCATCCTTTGATCCAAGCATACTACAATATATCCTAAAATCATATACAAGAAATATAAAATGTTTAAATTAGATAAGAGATATAGAGTTTAGAAAAAGTTGTATATACTTATATAGGATACCTGTAAGGCTTCTTTTTTTTATCAGTGACAACGTATAGCAATGCTTGACCGCCTTTAGCCCATGCCACATTACAGACCCAATCAGCTTGTGGCTTGCTACAAAGAGAACCTGAATTCAAATCTCTCACACATAATTTGAAGAAATCGTTGTCTTTGTCATACATGGGGTATGCAATGAATTGACGATGAGGTGAGATTGCTGATACCTCTTCATATGTATAACCTAAATCAAGTCATGTTAAGAGATTAAATGAAGTGGAAGAGAATTAGAGATCGTTGAGAGATGTTGAAATGATACTGGAATTGGAATTACCCCAAAATCTTTCTGCTTCTTGATTGTAATCGATGAGTTTTTGTTCAATCCTCTTCCCGGAGATGAAATCGAACCCACCTGTTGGACTTTTATGTGAAATGAACTCTTCGTTTAAGCTAGCTAATCTCCTACAGAGTACTGGATATTGTTTCCCTTCCTCCACTCTCCTGTTATACAACCTGAATTCCACCTCCAAATTGCCAAAGAAGAACATGTGATTTGAATTCGCATCCCAAAGAAATCAACAAATTAGCTAATGATATGCAAACAGAAATTGAAGGTACCAGGGCCCCCAGCGAGGGAGAAGTAGAAGGGCATAGATAGAAGGAGACGGCGAGGGAGGGCGACATACGAAAACGAAGAGGAGAGAATGAGGAGAGTAAGGAGTCACATAACCTTCAATCGAAGGTGTTTTGAGTGAGAGGAGCCGTCGGATCTCTTTGATAAATTTATTGAGATGTGGTTCAAAGCCCTAGTTCTTTTCGTCGAATGGCGCTGATGAAAACATACGGAGACTCGGTGACATCGTAGATAGAGAAGAGTAGTGTCTGATGGCGCTAATGAAGACATACGAGACAAACACTCTTTACAGAATCCATGGCTGCTTAGAGCTAATGGGGTACGATGCTGGTGATGGCGGCTTAGGGCTTGCAAAGAGTAGGGAGAAAGAGTGCAGATCAAGGTATTGGAAGACGGGTTTAGGCGGGTGTTTAATTTTTTGGGGTTCGATGTTGGTGATGGGGTTCGATACTGGTGATGGCGGCTTAGGGCCTCACAATAGAATTAGGGTTAGGGTTCTTTGTTAGAGGATTGTTGAAGGAGAAGAAGCATTCGGCAGGTGTTTAATTTTTTGGTATTTCATTTCCCACCATCGCCGATTGAAAAAAAAAAAAAGCGAGAACGCGCCTTCCTAAAAAAAATATAAAATGACATCTTTACATGATACGCCTTTTATGGTAGGTGCCCTCCGTGTTTTTTTTTGGACATTAATTTTAGGGCGCACAAAAAATGTGTGTCTTCTATCCTTGACATTTTGCAAAGCTAACATTATTTTTTAGGGCACGCACAAATGCGTGTCCACTGTCAGCGCGTGTCGTTGTTTGCGCGTCATTAAAGGGCTTTTTTCTAGTAGTGTATATATATAAAGTGAACAAGAACGAAATCAAAATACCTCTTTGATTGTATTAGGAAAAAATCAAAACCTAATTACAATTTTTCTTTCTATACTATAACTCGGTAATACAATTGATTATATAGAATTCTAACACCAACATGTAAAATAGAATATGGAAACTAGGAACTAAATTGTTAAAATAGTTTCCTATAACTTAGTTGCCTAAATTGGATTGCTTGATCCTCAAACTTAGAATTCCAACAATCACCACCAAATCTATAAGTCCTTCTAGAGACGTCTTCGATCCCGATCAAGCTCTGCATTTCCTTGAACTTGGTTCGAGCTAGCAGTTTGGTAAGAATGTCCTCCTTTTGTTCTTCACTGGGAATGTACTCCACCTCCACTTGTTTGTTTTCAACATAATTACGAATAAAGTGAAACATGTGTAAATGTGTTTACTCATTCCATGAAAAACTTGATTTTTCGTTAGTTTGATAGTGGACTTGTTATCAACTCTAAGAACCACTTTCTCTTACGCTTTGTTCATGATTTCTCTGACCAAATCTTGAAGCCATATTGCTTGAAATGCGGTTGTCGTGGCCGCCATGAACTCCGCCCAGCAAGATGACAAAGCAACGATATCTTGCTTTTGCGAAAACCACGTAATTGGATATGACCCGTAGTAGAAAATGTGACCGGTTGTGCCTTTTCCGTCATCTGGGTCAACATTGTGACTACTATCACTATAACCAATGAGTCAGATTTTTCCCATCCTCTCGTACTTGATTTCATATCTCATTGTTCCTCATAAGTACCTTAGAATGTTTTTGATTGCAACACCATATGATTCTCTTAGACTTTACATGTATCGACTAATAACTCCAATTGCATATTCCATATCGGGTCTTGTTTGCAAGAAATATCTAAGGCATCCTACCACCTTTCAATATTGTGTTGCGTCGATTTTGGGTTCATCTTCGTCCTTTGACAATTTATTTCCCAGTTCCATTGGAATGTGAGTCGGATTGCAATCATGTAAACCGGTTTCTGTTAGAATACGTTGAGCATATGCTTCTTGATTTATTGTAATCCCCGATTCCTCTTGCTTAACTTCAATTCCAAGGTAATAAGTCTATCTTCCAAGATCCGACATCTTAAAGTTCTTGGACATCTCTAATTTGAACCTCTTGATCATGCTCAATTTTTTACATGTGACAAATATATCATCAACATAAATTGCTAAAATCAGCAAGTTAGATCATTCACTTTTCCAGTACACCAATGGTTCTTTCATGCACTTTTGAAATTTCATACTCTTTAAAATCCCTTCAAGCTTTGTGTTCCATGCTCTAGGTGCTTGTCTTAGACCATATAATGCTTTTGTAAGGAGATATACTTTATGCTCGTTGCCTTTCTTTATATAGTCTTCCGGTTGTGATACGTAAATGGTTTCCTTTAATCCTTCATGTAAGAATGTCGTTTTAACATCTAAGCGGTGAGACTCCCACCCATAAGTAGCAGCTAAGGCTATAAGAAATCGGATGGTTTTGATTCGAGCTATTGGGGCTAATACTTCTTGAAAATCAATACCAGGTTGTTGCACGTAAACTTTAGCAACCAACCTTTCCTTGTATTTATTAATGGTGTCATCTTCATTTTTCTTCAATTTGAGCACCCACTTAAGTCCAATTGGCTTTACCCACATAGGCTTGTTCACGAGTATCCAAGTATTGTTTTTGTTTATCGAATTAATTTCTGTATTCATGGTTTTAACCCACTCTGGTTCTTTCTTCGCATCTTCAACCGATACCGGCTCATCATTGGTTGTTAGAAGAAGTTCTTCGAGATTATCAAGATCAAACTCATAATCTTGAAATCATCTTGGATGTACTCTTATTCTCGAGGGCCTTTGGTTTGCAGCTCCTTGTTGAACATTATTATTGATCGGACTTGGTTATTCATTATCTTATACTTACGCTCCGTCTCCAATCTCATGATCCGATTCAATCGGCTCCATTGGGTCATTGTTTACCTCGTTTCCTTGATTGTTGCTCGTCTCGCCTTTTGCGTAGTCCCATGGTATTATGAATGAGCCTGGTTCTTCATTGTTGGTTCTTGCTTCTTTAATCCAATCCCACCCTTTGGTTTCATCAAAAATAACATCTAGACTCACGATTATATTTTGTGTCACCAGGTTAAATAACCGATAAGCTTGCGTACACAGTTTGGAACCAACATGCACTAGTGATCTTGATTTTGCATCCAACTTCTTTAGATTAACCGGATCAACTTTTGCATATGCTAGACACCCAAATATATGAACATTTTCTAAATTCAGTTTTCTTTTATACAACTTTTCGTATGGAGTTGTATCACCAAGGACTCTTGTGTAAACACGATTGATTAGATTTGTAAAGTGATTTACCGCTTCTCCTCATAAGTAGTTTGGAACATGCATTACCTTCATTATACTTTGTGTAATGTCCATAAGTTTTTGGTTTCTTCGTTCCATAATTCTTTTTTATTGTGGAGAGTATGGGGTGGTAAGGTGGCGTTTGACTCCATTTCGATCACACAAAGAATTAAACTCGAGAGAAGTAAACTCACCTCCTTGATCACTTCTAAAAACATTCAAAGGCTTTCCAATTTCATTCTCCACCAAAGCTTTGAATTTTATGAAGTATGTAAACGCCTCACTCTTCTTTTTCATGAGATAAATCCACATAAATCATGAACAATCACCAATTAGTGCGAAGACATATCGATTTTGACCCTTGATTGTCGGCGGTGATCGAACCGCATAAATCACCGTGAACTAATTCTAATGGTCATTTTTCATTGTATGTCGTCATAGTCGGCAATGAATTTCTTGTTTGCTTACCCACTAAGCAAGATTCACACAATTGATTCTCATGATTAATTGATGGGTTTTGAGCATTTTAACACTTCTATGGTGTACATGCAACCCTATTAAACCTTGGATCTATGTTTTACTATGATACATGCTAATTTGATTTCCAAGGTTCATAACCTATATACAAAGGCACGTTTTATAACATCGAGTTACCAATGCGTTTTCGTACAATCAATGTATAACCAACTCATAGTCAACAACTCATATCTCTAGGTTTGAAAACTTATATGATACTACCGTCTCACGATCACTCGAGATAAATTCCATGAAGTGATACAAGTGAGCATGGGTTGAATCCAATACTCAGAACTTATGAGTACTCATGAATGTTGTAGCAACTCTTTGTTATGTCCAACACCTTGAACATCTACAATCCAACTTCATGACAGTCTTGATTCATATCTACTTCCAACATATGACCTACTGTGGAGATTTTGAATAAAGTAATTATTCTGGAAGTCAAAACATGCAAAGCTGAAACAATAGTAAATAATTGACAAAGATAGCAACACTTTACTCATAAATAAACAAAAACTTTTATTCATCATCAAATGTCGATTACATTTTATAAGTTTCAGAAATACCTATCTAATTTGTAATTAATACTAATATCATCCTTCAGTCCGATGTGCCTCGCATGCTGTAAATGCTTAACCCTACTCAGTCCCTTCGTGAGGGGATATGATGGGTTCTCATTCGATGATACCCTCTTTTCCCTGAGGAGTCTTTCTTCTATTCAGTGTCTGATAAAGTGGTATTTTCTCTCGATGTGGTTAGATCTCCGGTGATCCCTTGGTTCCTTCGCTAAGACAACTGCACTTTCACTATCATAGAAAATTTCCATAGGCTCCTTTGTAGCTGGTACAACTCCAAGGTCTCCAATGAAGTTTTTCAGCCATATTGCCTCCTTCGCCGCTTCACTCGCTGCTATATACTCTGATTCACAAGTCGAATCATCTACTATCTCCCGCTTGGAACTTTTCCAAGTAATTGCTCCTCCGTTTAAGGTAAATACCCAGCCTGACTGAGAGCGGAAATTATCTCTATCAGTCTGGAAGCTAGCATCACTATACCCAATCACTCTCAAGTCATCACTCCCACCGAAGGCAAGGACCCAGTCCTTAGTCCTTCGAAGATACTTGAGAATATTCTTTACCACAGTCCGGTAAGCATTGCCAGGGTTCCC